ACAAGCTTCTGTGGTTATGGGAACTGTGCTAGTTTTAACAGTGCAACAGCAAAGAGGAAATTCATGTTAGTTTAATATGATTAAAGTTTACTTCAGTAAAGTAGAATGATATTTTCAGTCTCTGAATTGTCCAGTGACCCTCACTGAACTACTTTTGCAATAGGTCTATAAAATTTAGCAATATTTGAAAAGGGATCTTTTTTGCAGTTCTTATCGAGGGGCAGTCTCCTCTAATTAAAGCAGCACTTTGTGCCTCATAGCTACAATCTAACATTGCTTTAAGTGTGATTGGGTTAATACAAATGAAAATTTGCATCAAGTATAGCATCATATAGAACACTAGTAGGCAAGCTGTCATCCAAAGCTTCAATTTTATTTTGTAAGTTATAACTGCTTGTCAAGAAATTAACTTTTTAAACCTCAATTTACCTTAAAATATTTATCATAAGCAACAGAATATGCATTTTTATCTGTGCAGAAACAGAATTGATATATACAGGGTATTTAGGTTTAAAACCAAGCAGCAGTACATTGAATTACATTACCTTAAAAAGATCTATTTAGTCTTCTGGATAAACATGGAAAAGCATATGTTGAGAAGCTGCAGTTAGGCCTTTCTTAAGAGGAAGTGCTTTATGAACAGGAAATCAATGGCTAATTTTAAATAGCTGTGAAAAGGTTTCTGTTCCATTTCCTATGACAAAATGATGACCGCAGCTTTAAAATCTTGTTTCTGAGAGATGAAAGACCGGGCACAAAGGGTTGGGACATTGGTCTTGTACCCATGATTCTAGGCTGGCAAAAGTATGGCCTTTCTTTCCATTGCAGGTTTAATACTTCTCAGGGGTTTTTGCTTTCCTGACTATGCATTGATTCTAACAGTTTGTTACAAAACTGTTAGTATTTCACAAGCTCACCTTTCCTTTTTGACTGTTAATTTAGACCTAGTTTTTCTGTATTTGAATGATATATCCTAGCTTTAATTTTGTCCTCTCTCCTTATGGCTTTGCTTTTGTATAGACACTTCCATCTAGTGCACACTCTCATTTTGCATGTATATATATTTAATTTCATCCTTTCAAAATATTTCTGGAATGTTTGCATTTGCAATAAATCAAATACCATTTGATTGTAAAGTATGTGAGTTGGTTCCAGTCTAAGTCTTTGTCTTGCTCCTTTCCTCTTTGTCTTCTATTTTGGACAATGGATCTTCGTAAACACATCACCTATTTAAGTTGTATTTTTGGCTAACAAATTTGCTGAATTTGTTTGAAGTACAGAATGTATAGGTGGATACCTTGAAAGGCAGTTTGTCGTTCCCATCTCAACTGACTTCCAGAAACAAGGAATAATGTTGATACGAATAGGCAGATGTCAGGTCAATGCATGGCTCCCACTCTGGTGTAATTTGAAAAATTCTGTATTTTTTGACCATGGGATGATCTATTCAACACCTGGCCTACTGACATGTGATGGGATGCACCTATCTCAGAGGGGAAAAAGAGGAAACCCAAGAGTTCTTGCACAGGAGCTAGTGGGGCTCATTGATAGAGCTTTAAACTAACTGGGAAGGGGGAAACACCAGACTTGCCAGTGGTGAGCAATGGGATGGTGTGCCAGACTTCAGGAAATGGGCATTAATGGGATCTGTCAATCTGCTTCATGAGCTGTTGGCTACAATGTCCCACACATGAAATGTTTCTACACCAATGCACGCAGCATGAGGAACGAACCAGAGGAACTCGAAGCTTTGGACCAGTCTCAGAGACTTGACATCATTGACATAAGGGAAACCTGGTGGGATGAGACCTGTGACTGGAATGCCCTGTAAGACGTTTACAGGCTCTTCAGGAGGGATAGGCAGAGCAGAAGAGGCAGAGGGGTGGCACTGTGTGTAACAGAAGGGTTAGGATGTGTGGAGTTCACAGCTGGCAATGGCACAGTGGAGAGTCTCTGGGTAAGAGTCAGGGACAAACAAATAATGCAGATGTCACTGTGAGAGTCTGCTATAGACCTCTCAGCCAGGCCAATGACACCAGTGAATTATTCTTTAAGGAACACTTCCAAGTCAACTGCCCTTGTCCCTGCAGGGGACTTCAGCTTGCCAGAAACAACTGGAAGCATCAAAGCATCACACAGCTGGTGCAGCCTGGGCCAGAAGGTTCCTGAAAAACCTGGATGGCAACTTTATGGAACAGGTTCTATGAGGGAGCCGACTTGGGAAGATGCCCTCCTTTGTCTGCTGCTTGTCCACAGAGCGGATCTCGTGAGCAAAGTGGAGATTGGGGCCGTCTTGGCCACAGCGACCGTGAAGTGATTGAGTTAATTTAAAAGATCTGCTGACAGGAGGAGAAGTGCCAGCAAAACCTCAACTGTGGACATGAGAGCAGACTTCAGGCTGCTCAAGGAATTACAGAGTAAAGTCCCCTGGGAAAATGTTTTTGCAGGTGCTGGGGTCCATCAGTTCTGGTCACTTTTTAAACATCACTCCCTAAGAGCACAGGAGCAGCAGTTCCCAAATGTCAGAAGTCAAGCAGGTGAGGCAGAAGGCCAGCTTGGCTGAGACAGGATCTTCTCTCAGAAATAAGGCAAAAAAGGAAGATGTATGCCCAGTGGAAGCAAGGTCAGGGGACACTGGAAGAATGGAGATGCTGTTTGCTGTTTGCCACTGTAGGTAGAAAATTCATGCAGCCAAAGCTAAATGGGAGTTGAAGCTGCCAGAAATATGGGAGACAATAGAAAGAGATTTTTCCAAGTATGTTAATTGCAAAAGGGAGTATAGAAATATCATCACTTACAGGATGAGAATGGTCCCCACACAAACATGGACAGAGACAAGGCAGAGGTGTTTAATACTTTCTTTGCCTCTGTCTTCAACATGGATGATGGACCAAGAGGGTCTCAGTGCCCTGAGCTGGAGGACCACAACTGTGAGAATAACTCCCAGCTGACCCTGAAAATGTGTGGAATCTGCTGCTCCAGCTGGATCCCTACAAATCTATGGGGCCTGATGGGATTCATCCCAGAATTCTCAAAGAACTGGTTGATGTCATCACAAAACCTCTCTGTGATTTTTGAGCTGTCTTGGGAATCCAGAGAGGTCATAGCTGACTGGAAGCTGGCAAATGTTGTCTCAATTTTTCAAGAAGGGCAAAAAGGAAGACCCTGGAAATGATAGGCCTGTCAGTCTCACTTCAGTGCCTGGTGAACTCATGGAAAAGATTATTGTGGGAGGTATTGAGGAGGACAACGCAGTCACTGGTCACAGCCAGCACGGCTTTGTGAGAGGGAAGTCCTGCTTATCAAACCTGATTTCCTTCTACAACAAGGTAACCCACCTGCTTGATCAGGGAAAGCCAGCTGATGTAATCTTTTTGGACCTCAGCAAAGTTTTTGGTACTGTCTCTCACAGGATACTTCTGGAACAAAATGTCCAGCACACAGCTGGATAACCATGTTACTCAATGGGTGAAGCATTTGAGCAATGTTGTCAGGCACAGGGTGTGATTGTTGGGGAGTCCTGCGTAGAAACATGAGTTGGACTCAATTATCCTTGTGGGTCCGTTCCAACTCCAGCATATTCTATGATTCTACGACTTGGGAAAGTTCATTTGTCAAACCTCAACTCTGATTCATTATCCACAGTTTCTCTGCAGACACTGGACAAATGCCTGTTTGGGTTCTCCTTCCCTGCTCTTAGTTGATCAGTTATTGCTAAATCTTTTAGGAAATTTTATTCTTCTTTCCCATCTCTTGTAGCCTTTTTTTAAAATATTTTTTTACCCCAAACAAAATTCTGAGTTCACTCAATTTTTGTATAGCTCTCAGAACAGAAATACTTTTCAGAAATTTATTTGAAATATTAAATGCTAATTTTTAGAGTGCATGAGTTATTCATTGGGTCTAAAAGTCCATGCTTTTTCCTTAACAGATTTTCTCTAAATTTGGATATGTCTTGAAGATTGTCATGTTCCATAAGAACAATCAATTCCAAGCGTTGCTCCAATATGCTGATGCAATGAATGCATATTGTGCCAAAATGGTAAGTACACTGTATTCAAATTGATTTTTTTTTTGTTTGTTTGTTTGCTTGTAGGAGGGGTTTCCTCTCCCCTCTGGTAAGGGGGGAACACTGGGGATATCTTGACCATTACCTTATGATTTCTCATCATTCTAACCCTCTTGATGCATATGAATAACTTTTGACATCCCTCAGTTAAGAGGACAGCACTCTTATCATCAAACTGCAAACAAATATATAATATACACCCAAGTGTATGAGTCTACCAAAATAAAAATCATTGATAAAATCCCCTCTCAGTCTTCTCGAGGCTGAACAGGCCTAGCTCCCTCTGCTTTTCTACGTAAGAGAGATGCTCCAGTCCCCTCATCTTTGTAGCCTTCCAGTGGACCTGCTCCAGGAGCTCCGTTTCTCTCTTGTCCTGAGGAGTCCAGAACTGGACACAGCACTCCAGTTGAGGCTTCACCAGGGCTGAGCAGAAGAGCCAGATTATCTCCCTCTTCCTGCTGGAATGCTCTTCCTAATGCACCCCAGGATACCGTTGGCCTGCTTTGCCACAAGGACACACTGCTGGCTCATGAACACTTTGTTGTCCACCACGTCCTCCACAGAGCTTCTTCACAGCAGGTCTGCCCCCATCCTGTGCTGGTGCCTGGGGTTATTCCTCCCCAGATGCAGAATCCTGCATTTGCCTTTGCTGAATTTCAGAGGGTTTTGCTCTGCCCATCTTTCCAGTCTACCAAAACAAAACTCAGAACTGTCAGTAGTGATGAGTGACAGTAACTGTAGTTGACCGAAAAGGTTTGCCTTTCAAACAGAATGGCATAGTTTCAGTAAGGTTCAATGAAGAGAGTGTAGTTAAATGCCTAGAAGTTAAATGAATATTACATGTTTTACTTGCTTGAATTTCAGTGAGAAATTTACAACAATCAGTGTTTTCATCTTGAAATTCTTAATTTCAAACAAACTGTTTGCTGACTTTTAAAATGCATGTTCTCACTGATGAAGGAAAGCTCACCTACTCAAGTGTATTTTCTGTGGTGGGTTAACTTTGGCTAGCTGCAGTAACCCACCAAACTGCTCTCCCTCCCCTTCTTTAGTAGGACAGGGGGAAAAATAAAAATGAAAAAGCTTGTGAGTCAAGATTGCTCAACAATTACTGTCATAGCCATACAGACTCGACTTAGGATAAGTAAAGAACAAAAACAAAAGTAAAAACACCTTTCCTACTCCCTCATTCCTTCTTCCCAGGCTCCACTTCCTTCCCAGTCCGCTACCTCCTTCCCCTGAGAAGTGCAGGGGATAGAGAATGGGGACTGTGGTCATTCCACAACACTTCGTCTCTGCTGCTCCTTCCTCCTCACACTGTTCCTTTTGCCAGCTTGGGTGGTTCTGCCAGGATACAGTCCTTCCCTAACTACTCCAGTGTGGGCCCTTCTGTCATGGGCAGAATGGAAGCTTTGGACAAGGTTTACCAGGGAGACCCTCCTGTTGTGTCACAAAGTGCAGAAAGGACCCACTTGCTTTCTAAACTCCACAGAGAGGAGTCTAAGTGCAGCTGGATCCAATCTTAGCCTCAGACTTAGTTAATAGTTTATGTTTAAAGGAATTATGTGTATGTAATTGAGCCTTTATACAACTCTGTCCCACTGGATTAAGGATGTCAAAACAAATATATTTATATTAATAAGATAAATTAGTTATTTAACTGGATGATGATAATGATAATAATTAGACTAAAAAACATTAATCAGAATTATTTAGCACATAGTATAGATAAAACTAATAGTACAGTGCAGTATTTATTGAAACAATATTGAAGCAATGATATTAAAGCTAGCAAAAAAATTACTCAGTAGCAATGGCTGTGGGCAAATATCTTGCTTAGCCTGCGAGAGTAACCTTGAGGGGCATCTGCACCCAAGAGAGGAATCTACACATGTACTTCTAGAAGGGGTGTGTTAGGAGACCCTGCTGTTAAAAAGTGGGACTGGGCTTTTATAGTACAGAGTCATTGACTGTCAGTCAGATGTCTCCAAGCCAGCTGTGTCAGCTCAGCAGCTTTAGATAGGTTATCAGTAGGATCAGTTGTTTGTTCCTTTATCAGGTACTTTGTACACCACATCCTCACTGGTGCCAGTTTCTGTCAGGGAACATTGTTCTTCCTCAGAATGTTTAACTTTGGAATTGATGACTCAGGCTGGTCTCAGCATCCTTCAACGCCAAAAGCAGCATGACCTCCTTTTCCATGCACCGCTGATAACTTTTGCAAATAGGGTAAAGTTCAAGCTGGCTATCCTCACTTAGGCAGAACAGCCTGATACACCATCCCACAGGTTGTAAGTGGGATGGATATCTGTTCCACTGTGGGTGTCCATGGGCTGCAGGGGGTCAGCCTCCCTTACCATGGTCTCCAGGGGAATCTGCTCTGCTGCCTGGACCACTTCCTTCTCCCCCTCCTTCTCTGACTGTGGTGTTTATAGGGATGGTTCTCTCACTTGTTTCTCACATCTCACGTCTCAGCTGACTGGTTTTTTAGCCCTTCCTAAACATGTTGCCACAGAGGTGCCACCAGTATTCTCCTCCACTTTGTATAGCAGCAGATACTTTTTTTTGAAAATACTCAATATATTTTTTATGTAAACAACTTATTCTTAAAGTTTTCTTATAATGACTACATATTTTAATTTCTAAAAAATACTGTTAATTAGTTTCCTCAGTGATGAGTAGTTTTATAATTAAATGTTGAAAGCTGAGTACTTCAGGACTTTTGCAGAAGGAAGAGCACTGTTAAAATCATTGCATTATAATACTTGAACTGTGAAGTTAAAAATAAAGACAAAGATAAAACACTTCACTTACTTGAAGTTAAGCCTGAAACACTTTGATTTTATTTATTTACTAATAAATAAAATTTTTAAATTTTATTTAAAATTTTAAATAAAAGAGAAATAGAATTTTTAAAGAGAAATAGAATCTGAAAATTCCCATTGAAGTATATAGAATAGATTCCTCTAAGTATTAAGTGGTAATTAGGATTCAGTTAAAAAAAATTACTGAAAGGTGAGATAGAATGGAACTTTTACCTTACTTTTGTTATTTAACTTGACTTTATTCTCAGCTTCAACATTAAAGGTTCAGGATATTTACGTATTTCTACTTGTATTTTAGTTCAGCAAGTAAATTCACTATGTTCAAAAGTTAAGAATATATTGAAAATTAGTAAATGTAGTTGGATTTATAGCCTGGTTGTTAGCAATAGTATCTTTTCTTGAAGGAGAGTATTTATAATAAATTACACCTAATTAAAGTTTTCACAGAAATTAAAATTTCAGCCTAAATTATTTTAAATAATTTTGACAAACCAGTATCTTTTGAGTGGTTTTCTTCCCCCTTCATCCATCATGATTCTTTTATGACTGGTATAGGCAGAAAATACTACTTCAGTGATCTTTCTGAGCGTAGCTACTCATAAGAAAATGGATTTTATGGATTCACAGATTGGGTAAGGTTGGAAGGGACCACTATAGGTCATCTAGTCCTACCTCCCTTCTCAAACAGTGTTCCATAGAACACGTTGTGCAGGATTCGTGTGCAGATGGCTTTAGAATATCTCCAGGAAAGGAAACTCTACAACCTCTCTGGGCAATCTGTTCCAGGTCTTGGTCACCCACACAGTAAAGAAGTTCTTCCTCATATTCAGGTGGAACTTTGAAATCCCATTTGATAATTCCCAAGTTACCCTTGCTGTCTTTAGTTCTCATGAAATGGCAGCAGGAGGTAATAGTCAGATATGTGCAAAAGCCTTAGCAGTCTTTGCATTACATCTGTGATTCAAGCTCCTGGTAGACGACTCCTTTTTAGATCAGCAGTCAGGTCAGCAGATGGGTGCCTCTGTCCTCTTCAGCAGGGACTTAGCCACAACAATCACCCACCACTTCTTTTGGGCGATCTGCAGCACAGGATACATCTGCTCTGTTGCTTCACTTGAAATCAAGCCCAGCTCCAGGGGTTTACATTGAAAAAGAACCTTGAGGTCATTGAGTCCAATGATAAACCTAACACCGCCCAAGTTCACCTCTAAACCATGTACCTAAACACTGCATCTCCACATCTTTTAAATACCTCCAGGGGCGGTGACTTCACCACTTTCCTGTTCCAGCCTGTTCCAATGCTTGGTAACCCTTCTGATGAAGAAATTTTTCCTAGTATCCAGTCTAAACTTCACCTCACAAAACTTGAAATCATTTCTTCTGTCCTGTCACTTGTTACATGGGAGAAGAGAGCAACCCCCACTTCACTACAGTCTCCTTTCAAGTAGTTGTAGAGAACAATAAGGTCCCCTCTGAGCCACTTTTTCTCCAGGCTAAACTACCTCAGCTCCTTCAGCAGGTCCTCACAGGCTGCTTCAAACCCTTCACCAGCTTATGTAAGGGTCAGTAAGAATTTCCAAATTAGTATTCCTACTAGCACCTGATATTGTGTGTTGAGTGGGAGACAAGTGAGATCAGAAACACAGAAAGTCATGTCATGCTTAAAGCTCTGTTTTGTCCAATTGGCACAAAGTGATGTAATACTTACTAACTAGTGGACTACACTGGAACTGTACACAGGATGTTTAGGTAAGGATAGTAGCAGCATAATTGTCTACTTGGTGTTTAAAACCACCACTTTTAAACCAGAGGATGAATTACTATTTGGATACAGTTGCAAGGTGAAAATCATGGAATGGTTTAGAAGGGACCTTTAAAGGTCATCTAGTCCAACCCCTCTGCAATAAGCTGGGACATCTTCAACTAGATCAGGTTTCTCAGAGCCCAGTCCAATGAGCATTGATGACCTCTCTGGGCAACCTATGGCATATTTCACCAGCTTCATTGTAAAAAGCCTCTTTCTCATATCCAATCCAAACTGACCCTTCTGTTTAAAACCATTCCCACTTGTCCTGTCGCAACAGGCCCTGATAATAGGTCTGTCCCCATCTTTCTTATAGACCACTTAAGTACTGAAAGGCTGCAATAATAAACTTATAACAGTGGCTGCTGCGATGTGTTTTGAATCTGCAAATGTAATTATTTTTCTTCAGTCTCTGGATGGCCACAGTATCTATGCTGGGTGCTGCACTCTGCGTATTGATTTCTCCAAGTTAACTACGCTAAAAGTAAAGTACAACAATGACAAAAGCAGAGATTTCACTCGCATTGATCTTCCTTTTGGTGATGGCCAACGAACCCTGGATGCATCCTTAGCTACTACCTTTGGTAAGAAACCTTCACTTCTAGTGATAAATACACACTAAGATCATAACTTTTATGTCGCATTTATGCTCTAGTTTCATATCAAGTTCACAGAAGGGTACATTTTGCATACGTTTCTGTGTGTTAGGTCCAGCAAGATTTGTATGGAAAGCAGAAAGTCCAACTCAAGATAACTTAATATCTGTAACTATAACATGAGGAATGCTCATGGGCAAACTCAAGGTGTTGTCAAAAAGCTACATTTGTAAAATGATTTGCAATGGCATTATTAGTACAGGTAATATAATAAATGTTGCATATCAGTATGGTCAGTGAAAGTCATCACCAATTAAAATTGGTTGCCTAAGGCTGCTTGAAAATAAATGTTTTAAGGGTGTTAGCTCTTATTTGAGCATATTTTAGGATAACTGCCTGCTGTAACAAAAAACAAACTATAAGAAAATTCAAAATGCCGCATTTATAAATGTTTGTAGTCACCTTCTGAAAGATAAAATTTTAGAAGTTTTTTTGAATTTTAGAAGTCACTTCTATGGCATATAGGGAGACAGTGTCTGCTTGAAGTGACACTGGAGAAGCCCTTTTGGCTTAAATGGCTCTACTATGCTAATTTAATTAGCTTTAGGAATAATGCCAATCACCAAACACTTTGATCTGATGACCTGAAGTGCTCACAGTGCAATTTGAGCTATTTTAGCTATTTTTCTTTCTCTCTAATGATAATGGTTGGCAATAATACATAGGTATGAGCTGCCTTAACTGTTGAATAGGTATCTAAGTGCTGTCCAATTGATTAGCACAGTAGAAAGGGTAGGGGAATAATTCCCCTTTTTTCCTTTAGTTTTCTGTGATGGCTAGGGCAGATACTGGGTTTTGTTTGATTTTTTTGGATAGTTAAGTTAGTTATCTTAGATTAGAATAAGAATGTGAGGTGCACTTACTACTTTCTTGGTTGTTTTTACTGCTCCCCTTAAAGACAGGCTTTGGATCTTTACTTTATGTACAACTGTCTTTATACTGTGGGGTGGAGTGAGGGGGGCAGAATTTGCCATACAGCATTATAGAAGTATACTGTTACAGGTCTAATATATTCTGATTAATTAGACTTGCACTATTTGAAAT